GAACATGTTCTTCAGTGGAGCCATTCGGTTTTGTCCACCATAAACCTGGCCAGAAGCTACATAAATCTGAGTTTCCTTAGGATATCCCATTGCCCGAAGAATCACAGCCACTTCCCCGGGTTCAAGAGGGCACCTTCCTTCCTTCCGTTTTTGCAGGGCCAATTGCCACAGATGGGAACCGTTCTGCAAGATAAATCCCCAAAAGCTTATGAATCATCCATGCCTGTTCAAGTTTCAAACTAAAACCAGAAAACTGATAACTCACCTTATATCGTCGAGGCCACTCTTTTTTTCTATATTCTCCCATTCTAGCTTTCTCATCCCTTGTCCCCACAAAATCACAGAATGATAGACCTACCATTCCCTTTTCAAATCTAAGATGAAGAGCCCTGTATGACAAATAATGTTTAGTGCCACTAAATTTCAAATTATAAAAAGTTGGAACTAAGTCCAGACAACTTCAGATATCAAGGTCACATACATATATGGATTTGAAACTCCTGTGCGGTTTCGCATCCTTGATACCAACAAATCAGACATTTCCTCTATCTCAGGAAGAAATTTCAGAGCATGATAATTCACCCTGCACCTTAGCCTGTTGATTTCTGGAGGAACATTATCATATCTACAGCATACACAAAAAAGGAAAAAAAAAAGACAAAATTAGCAATCCAAGACCATTTATTTTTCTTCCAATGAAAGTAAAATTTTGAGCATAGGCATACTGCCCCAGAGATGTACAACATCCATGACTCACCCAAGCCGATCAACAAAAGGCTTCAGGGCCATTATCTTCTTTTCCTTGATTCGAGGCAGTACATTATCTATGTAGAATTGAGCAGGTGCATATTTTGGAATGTTTTTCACTGTCCGTCTATAACATAGATGGCAATTTTTTTCCAAATAATCAACACCAGTTGCAACAAATTCAAGTCATCATATAAATGTGCACAACACGACAAAATGAGGAGCACAAAAATCAAACCTTATACTTGTGAATAACTCTGATTTGTCAGTAAACCACTCAGGTATATCACGAACAATTCGTACATCATACTTTAAATAGTCAATGAAATGATCAACATCAAAAATGTCTTCAAATTTCCTGCAGACATTTTGTAAAAGAAAAAAAGGCTTGTGAGAAGGGGAAAATCTAACTCGTTAATGTAACTACAAATGAGACAAGGTTTTTTGTGAAAAAAGGAAATATAGCTAAGCATATAATAGTAATATGCCAAAATCAAATGAACCTATTTGAGATGACAATACAGCCACAAAGTAGAATTCCCAACGAATATACATGTTTGTTGAGTGCATTAATATCACATCAATTTCCAACTGATGTTCCCCCCCCTCAAAAACAGCAAGACCTAGCATTGTTGAAGCTGAAAGACCTTAATAAGAAATATGAGGAGCAAAGCCATCCACAAGAAACATTGTTTATAAATCTCAGAAGAATAAAGAGAAACAAAAACAAAAAATGTTAAAAGAATGTTGCAAGATGTAATGTCTAGGTATCAATGTTATCATATGCATAAGAGTATTGGCTTACGTTTGGTCTTTCCAAATCTGGTCCTGCTTCAGAACAGGCAAAATAAGGGTGGCATTCATTATTTTAGCCACTGCTACAGCATTGCATATCTGCATTAAAAATAAAGGCAGCATTCACTATAATTCAATCACTTTAAAGCTTGTTGCTTGGTAAGTAAAGGAATAAGCATAATTTTTTTATGAAATACACTACAGGAAGTTACTTTGATTAAAAATAAAGAGGTGAGAAAAAAGAAAAATTGATTATTGACCAAGCAAATTACCAACATCAAATAATAACAAATAATTGGCCAAAAAAAGAATATCCCAAATCACCAAGTCCAGAT